TTCAACAAGCAATTTTCTGAGCGCTACTTTAAATGTAGAGCTATTGGATTTGTTGATTTCTTCAGTCATGGTGACCTTTGAATTTTTTGGACTATTTATGTATACTTTTTTATTTTTATTGTTAATTGCAGTGAAGTGAACCGTCAATCGAAATTAACAGCAAGAATACAAACTTTTTTCGCTACAAGTATGAAAACAAACAAATTCAATATTTTTTTTGCTATTAGATCTTCAAATTTTAGCATTTTAACCCCATTTTCAGTCCAATCTGGTCCAAAATGAATGTCAGCCGAGATTAAGCATATCAACATTCATTGTAAAAAATTTCAATGAAATCAGTTAACACGATCCGGGGATAAAACTGAAAAAAAAAACAATCAAATGCAATAGCCCTACATTTCATGTAGCGCTAAAAAATGGATTGAGAAAAACGGAAAACATTTAGAGAGATAACAACAACTCATTGCCATTTTTTTCATCACGTTGACTGAATAAACGGCACAAACCTTTGCAGAAAAAGACAAAGTCAAAAGCAAGTGAATGAAAGGGGAAAAAGACAGCGAAAATACTAAAAATAAAATATTCTCATGGTTACCATTGAAATATGACTGAATATTGCAAATACTTATGATGCTGATTTTTCTGATGTTATATTTCTTTTTTCTAGCACTCGTTTGTGTATGTATATGCTTTTTATTTGGTGTGTGATTAGTTGATGGGGGAAGACCAGGGACTAAGAGAACGGCATACATAGATAGAGTACATTTTAAAATGAGAGTACTTTTTCTCGTCAATGGAATTAATTTGGAACGATACGGAAACAAGAAGAGTTCATATCCTTTTTTGTATTTTCTTTTGTGTTCAGTCGATCTATAGAAATGCGAAGTGCGGTCGATATTTATGAGCATGAATATTGCCATCACAGTGTTCACGATCAGTGCTTTGCTCATCATTGTGAGATGGTGTATAAGAGAATTATTTTTGGTCTCTGGTTTATCAATGCCATCGCTTATTTTATAAGTTAGAAGCCACTGTATCTTTTTTTCATTTTCTCATCAGCAAATAATATCAAAAGACATAGATGGATAGCAATCCAAAATAAAAATCATAAAAACCCAACCATTTGGTTGTACGTGAAAGAAAGAATAAAGTACTCCAAAACAAAAGAGCACAACAAACGAAATCATGCAAGCTCACCGGGGGTAAACGTATTTTATTATCAAAATATATTTTTTTTATATTAAAAGTTTGATGTTGAGCCGAGATTTTTCTTTTCTTCTTTTTCAACGTTGACCTTATGAAATAATTTCAACCATGTGAAAAGCGTTAATAAAATTTCAAGCATGACTGGCAGCCACACTTTTATAGATTCACTGATTCATATATCTTAAATCATCACATCGTGTCTGGTTTCTTGTTAGTGCATGTCACTTTTTATAGCAATATTTTTGTGTATAGACGTTAATACGTACAATTTTTTTAATTGGTAAAAACTCTTTTTATTTGCCACTATTTATGTAATCTCTTCTACCACAACAAGTCTGATTGTGTCTTGAAAGAAAATTGCATGAATTCAGTGCAATGTAAAAATACCCACCATAATAATGAGTAAAAGATGGAAAATGATGTGTTTTCATTGTTATCACATTTTTACAACTGTTGTTGGCTTGATGCATTTGCTGTTCTATAGCGAAAGTCACTTTGGGTATTTTTCCCTTACATATCTATGGCCTCTGTGTGGCTATAGAATATCATTGTGATATTTTTCATTTGTCGCTTCGTTTCAGTTGTTTTATTAGTGCAAACTGTTTCCATTTACTCACATAAATGAGCGCATTAATCGTATTTGTTGTGAATAAATATTTTCGTTTGTATACGATGCAGATCAACGGCGAATACAAATTGTAACGAAATGCATGTCGAGTTTCAGTGCCTAAGAACATACTTATTCATCATATTGGGGTCAAATATAACAAGCAATGCACATGTTGAGCACAAAATAATACAGTGGTAACGATAAAAGCATATCCAGGATAAAACATAAGACCGTCAGTGACGCATACATTAATTGAGAAAAAAAAATGTTGAAGCGAGAAACTTTATTTGAAGTTGTACAATATTTATTTTTCGTTGTTTTTTGTTTTGCTTTTCTCGGTGTTGCTATTGTTGATTTTGGCTTAGTGTCGTATGTACAACATTGAAACAATAATCGACTTCACTCATCCATTTATAACAGAATTCAACTAATTACTTCATTGCCTTCTCTCTCTCTCTCTCAGTCTATCGTTGCTTTATTGTCTTAATAAAATAAGTTATCAAGAATTATGAAAAACCTCGTTTCCTTCCACTCGGAGAAGCTTCAAACGTGAAATTCGAGGAAACGAACCGAATATCTGAATGTGCAACAAGCAATCTCTTTAAAGTCCCTTTAATCACATTTCTTCTCATTCGTTCGGCCAAGTGAATCGTATCGCATCGAGTTTTGTTGCTTACTTCTCAATGAAGTCAAGTGAAGATTGAGATGAAGAGTGGTGAAGAGAGGGGAAATATTTTGTACTCTTCGAAGCAAAAATAAAATTAATTAATTTTTCTTTTCTTTCGCAAAAAGTTTAGTCGTTCCTTTTATCGTTAATAAACGGCTACAGAACGAAAGACACAGATAGAGTGTCGAACGAGAGAAAATAAAAGAGTGAATAAGAAACTGAAGAAAAAAACTGCAAAAACAATAGAAAAGTACTTGTTATAATCAAAATTGAGACTGCCAACGCTTTTTCTATACAATTTTTTTTTATTGCTTTACGGAATGTTGACTTTTAACTTTCAAAAAATCGCACAAGATTATTTTGTTCACTTTTTTCATTCTTTTCCATCACCACAGCAAATTGAATGTACATTGACCTTGGTCAGCACATAAATAGCGGTTCAATTTTGGCACAAGATGAACAAAAGGCGCTACATGACTCAAATGCCTTATTCAAGCGAAAAATGTATTTTAGTTTTTTTAAAACAAAGACCACTCGACAACACGGAAAATCTCCAATTTTCAATGTTATAAAAGTTCAAATGTTCTATTTTAACTAAATCCAATATTAGCACAATTAACTTAATGTTACCCATATGAAATTTGGGGGAAAACATATTTTCTCGATGTTAGAATTGGTACATCTGCTCCAAAATGGATATAATTTCAACGGACTCACTCTTTAGATTTGCAATGGTAATGTGCTGCCGAATATGGCTTCAGTTGGGATAGTTTTCCTTTACAATTTTTTGTGTATTTTGCATCAAAGTGATTTATTTATTTATCATTTTATGTTTTGAGAGCCAATACACCAAAACCGATAATTTATTGGCAACATTTACTATGGAATAGTTTAGACTGAAATGCCTGAAGTTGAAATAGCCTTTCATACGATTTTCATTGTTTTTTATACCAAAATGACATTTTCGCCAGGGCAATTTTCGCAAACACATTCTTCAATACCCGAATTGGAAGGTGACAATGATATTTCCAAATTGATAAATTAAAATGTACCATTGAATTGTTGCCATTGCACAACAACATTATTTTCTGTTATTTTAACAACATTTTAAAGTTGTCGCTCTAATCAATTTCATTTATTCGCCCTTTTATCACTAAGGGTTCCTAGGGTTCGGATTACCCCCCTCTAAAATATTTTTAGGAACCCTCAACAATTTTGGAAATGAGGACCTTTTTTTGCTTTTCACTTTTTTTGACCGAGAAAATTCTTCCGATTTGCCCCCCTCTAAACAAATTTCCGTCATCATCTATGACTTTAACCCTTAAAAAAATCTCCAAATTTCAGTTTGCCACTGAAGTATTGATTGTACTGTCAACAGCAATTGAGGTTTGAAAAAATTTGGACATTCTTCGCCGTTTATTACATGGATTATTGCTGGTTGTAAATTATTTTTGAAAGAAAATATAATGTGGTTTTTTGCCATTGAACATACAGATTTTTATTTCGAATGGTGCATAAAAGAAAAAATGCGACGCACATCATACGTTCATATCTCCGGTGTATTGTATTGAGGTTACGGAATACGGTTACGCAAAAACCACACATAAGTATTTATTTTGACTGGTTTTGCGTTCCACATACCATATTTCATCCGAATATTGTATATTATGCGCATTAAATACGGCTTTCATAGTAAATAATTCACCTCCATCTCCACCACACTCCATTTTCATCACCACCAAAATTTCTTATCGTTCTTGTGTTGACAACGCATCGATTTTCAAGATAACTAAATTATCGACGATTGCGACAAAATAAAGAAAACAAACTCTCGAGATGAAACATATTTATTCAGCATCAAATCAATGCATGACGCTGATCAAAAGATTTCTGTGTCGCGTCCTATTTTTGTCGCATAGCATCAATAAATTTACGCATGCGATCATTTTTGCTTGCATTTTCGAACCATAATTCACATTTAACATTGACATCGGCAAATTATTTTTATCTAATGTCTGTTCGCAGTGTTCATTAACCGCATTAAGAACAAACGTGAATGTTGGTAATGCAAACGACCACACAATTTGTTTTGTGGCTGTCATATATCGGCACACGTGAGAGGAACAAAAAATTGGGAATTTTCTGAGAAAATTATTTTTGCACTCCAACAAAATACCTACACGACCATAAATGCTGTGATATCAATTTATTTTCTGCACCACAAAATATGTGAAGTACATGGGTGTATGAAAGTTGTTGTTTTTTGCTTTCGTTCGCGTTTGCTTTTGTCTCTGTGCGCGTTGTATGCGCGCTAAAATCCCCCCAAGTGAATCTCATCCGAATTTCATTTTTGTTGATATTTCATCGGAATATTTTGTTGGTGCAATCGCTTTTAGAATGTAGTTTTCCTATATATTTGTGCAAATGTGCTTATGTTGGATGTGTATGAATATGTGGCC